TACCTATAGGGAAAACGGTCGCCTGTAATTATTATATTTACCGACGGCAGGACAAACCCACGTGTAATTGCGCTGGTCTACCGATTATTCTCATAGCAGTTGGGTGCAGGTTGACTTGCATTTACTGGAGTGCAACTGTGTGTAAATAATTGTACAATATTATAGAATACTTTCTTTGGCAATTATGGAACACTCCTGTTTAGCTTTTGACATAATAATACAATAGGAAATGTCATAAACATATTTTTAAAAATAACATTGTCTAAGTTTTGATGAAAATGCACAAGTATTGCTTTGTTATCCTCTAAAAAAATACTCTTACTCTAATCGTTGATTTTATCATATATATATATATATATATCACAAAATAAAAGATAGTACTATTACTATAATAGCTTTTAATATTATGATTATTAGGAAAGGTATGCGATTACAGCATATAATTGCACAATATGATAGGAGAACCTAATTGTATATTATAAGAAGGTACTCTTAATAGGTAATAACTGTGCGAATTAAATATAACGATGACTTACCTAAGTCGTTCCACTCGAAACCCATAATTTTGTTGACTCAATATTTAAGCAATTTATATTAATCTGGGGGGGGGGGTTTAAGTACAAAACTCTAAACGTGATTCAGATGCGACATGTGTGTAATTAACATGGGTTTTGGTGACGCACGGATAAGCCGCAGTGCGTGTGACGTATCCAACAATGTATACAGGGTGATTATTTTATCATGGGCCACTCGATATCTCACTGGGTTTAACTAATAATAATTTTTTTTTTTTTCACAGTGTTTTTATATAATGTGATCTCCCAAACTCCTCCCAACTTTTTTGATAGAAACTTTTGAAACTTAAATGGAAACTTATATATATTTTATTACCTTTTTAAATTATGAATATTCTACTTAAAATTTCAACTGTTCGATAACCAGTTTTGTATAATAATTTTTAAAATGATAAGAGTTTAAAAATAGTTCTACACTGCACCTGTCCTCCTGCCCTAAACTTGAAACTTCAATTGCATGGCACATTTCACATTTGTACAGCGTTTACAAGTTAAAATGACAACTAAAAGTCTACTAATCAAAACTGAGCATTTGAGCAAGTCGAAAATGTTCAATACTTTGGTGTAAATTTAAATAGTCATCGGCTAAGCTGTGCATAATATAATAAGGATCTAGTAATATTCAACCAGAACCAGCTGTATCTTAACACGTTAAGCAGTGTGGTTTAACCCTGTATGAATATTCAATACTTAAATACAACATAAAATATATTAATAATTATATAAACGTCTTGTAATAACACGTCATATATAGAATAAGTCATGGGTGGGTAATTGGGTTAGATAAAGTAATACTAAATCATTTTGTATAATAGTTGAACGTGTATTTCAATATTTTAATGTATTTTTTTGATTATTATTCGTTTAAATTTATTGAGTGTACACGAAACCTAACTTTGAATAATAATTAGTGATGACCTCTTTTACTAGCTTTTGAATTTGAATTCCTAATTGTTTTATGAAATCCGATTGTTTATTATTTGGAAACTCATTTAAAAATGCATTCATCATTATTTTGATGTCCGGCTCTTCCTTCGGATCTGGTCTTATGCAATATTTTTCTAAGAACGGCTCTAAACAGTGCTGATTTCTTCCGTTGATAGACCTGAACAATTTTGTGGTAAACGAACCACCTATTAACTTGTACTCGACAAGTGTACCGGTATAAGATGGAAAAGAGCGTTTCAAATTTATCCGTATGTCTTTGTACCACTTGACTAACGATAATATTTCTTGTACATGCTGTACGCTAGCAAGTTCCACCGGCGGAATTAAATTGAATAAAAAATTTAACGCGTCATACATGTATTCGAACATCTGCTGACTACCCATTAACTGTTGGCAAGTAAAATTGAAAATTGTCCACGAAATGCCATAGAAATAGTCACAAAGTTCAAATTTGCCATTTACACCGATATTCTTCTGTTGGCTTTCTTCCTCGTCATCCGATATGTGCGCCTTGCCTTCCGAATCGTCACTGTTTTCTTCACGTGATTGATGATCATGTTGCACTTCACGGGTTGTCGATTGCCCACCTGGCCTTTGTTCACCGTCCATACTTCCCAGACGCATTTTCTTTAACTTGCGCCGTTTAACATTAGCGTACGCTCTATTTTTGGACAAACGTCTTTCGTAACCATTAACAGATAAAATGTTTTTGATCAACGCTGTAAATGTATGGGTCGCGTTCGCGTACAAACATCCTAACAAATTAACCACCATGTAGAATTTTTGGTACACGTTATCGACACTAACATGCGAATTGCCAATATTGTTAGCGAGCGAGTACAAACCTCTGTGAATAAATAAATCTCTCCCTGAAAACGAATCGCATTCGTTTGTAATGCCTGAATGTGATTTAACTTGCACGTCGGCAATCCGCGCCCATTGCCAATTGCCCAAAAGCGCGTTAAGTACGTCAGCAAGGGTTTTTTTTTCGACTTGGTAACTTGCAATCGTTTTTTCACTATTATAATAGTATATTATAAAAATATACAGTAACACTTTGCCGGGCTTCATCTAACCGACGTGCCAAAATTGTATTTTGAAATTAAAAATATATTATATATTTTAAAGTAAAGTTTTATACGGTGAACGGTAATATTTAGGTTTTCTACTTTTATGCTATACAAAAATACGACTATTGCATGTAAAAAAAAACGTATGTTAATTTATTGACCGTATGCATACAACTTCAATCTCTAACAACTGTTAGAAGTATTGCATTTTTTACATCGTTATTTATTCTAAATTGTGCTGCCACTAATATATAGTTATTGGTAAACTTCGCATTGAAACTAAAACTCACTTAAAAACAACATGACTATGCTACAACCTTATATTATGTTTTTTTTTTTTTTATAAACAAGTGTGATTTGTCTATATGTATAACATAGTCGTCTACTAATACAAATATTTATTAAATGTAGTACACTTTTTTGTATTGTAGATACGTTTTTTTTACATGCAATAGTCGTATTTTTGTATAGCATAAAAGTAGAAAACCTTAATATTACCGTTCACCGTATAAAACTTTACTTTAAAATATATAATATATTTTTAATTTCAAAATACAATTTTGGCTCATCGGTTAGATGAAGCCCGGCAAAGTGTTACTGTATATTTTTATGATATACTATTATAATAGTGAGAAAACGATTGCAAGTTACCAAGTCGAAAAAACCCCGGCTGATGTACTTAACGCACTTTTGGGCAATTGGCAATGGGCGCGGATTGCCGACGTGCAAGTTAAATCACATTCAGGCATTACAAACGAATGCGTTTCGTTTTCAGGGAGAGATTTATTTATTCACAGAGGTTTGTACTCGCTCGCTAACAATATTGGCAATTCGCATGTTAGTGTCGATAACGTGTACCAAAAATACTACATGGTGGTTAATTTGTTAGGATGTTTGTACGCGAACGTGACCCATACATTTACAGCGTTGATCAAAAACATTTTATCTGTTAATGCTTACGAAAGACGTTTATCCAAAAAAAGAGCGTACGGTAAGGTAAATCGACGCAAGTTTAAGAAAATGCGTCTGGGAAATATGGACGGTGAACAAAGGCCAGGTGGGCAATCGACAACCCGTGTAGTACAACATAATTATCAATCACATGACGAAAACAGTGACGATTCGGAAGACATGGCGCACACATCGGATGACGAGGAAGAAAGCCAACAGAATAATATCGGTGTAAACGGCAAATTTGAACTTTGTGACTATTTCTATGGCATTTCGTGGACAATTTTCAATTTTACTTGCCAACAGTTAATGGGTAGTCAGCAGATGTTCGAATACATGTATGACGCGTTAAATTATTTATTCAGTTTAATTCCGCCGGTGGAACATGCTAGCGTACAGCACGTACAAGAAATATTATCGTTAGTCAAGTGGTACAAAGACATACGGATAAATTTGAAACGCTCTTTTCCATGTTATACCGGTACACTTGTCGAGTACAAGTTAATAGGTAGTTCGTTTACCACAAAATTGGTCAGGTCTATCAACGTAAGAAATCAGCATCGTTTAGAGCCGTTCTTAGAAAAATATTGCATAAGACCAGATGCGAAGGAAGAGCCGGACATCAAAATAATGTTGAATACATTTTTAAATGAGTTTCCAAATAAAAAACAATCGGATTTCATAAAACAATTCGGAATTCAAATTCAAAAGCTAGTAAAAGAGGTCATCACTAATTATTATTCAAAGTTAGGTTTCGTGTACACTCAATAAATTTAAACGAATAATAATCAAAAAGATACATTAAAATATTGAAATACATGTTCAACTATTATACAACATTATTATTTATATATTTAAACCTATTAATTACCGGCTATCATGTATCAATTCGGAATTCAAATTCAAGATATTATTATTTTATTTGTTAATTAAATCATTTTCGCTATTTACCCAATCATTTTTTTTTTTACAACACATTACCTACTTATTATTATTATATGACCAGGTTGGTTGTAAAACATAACGGAACTTAAATAAATAAATCTATTTGGAAAAAGAAACACATCAAAAGTGTTTTTTTTGGTCCAATGATTGATATGTAATATCATAGGTACATATTATAATACCTAGTGTTAGCAGTTAGCACAGTAACATACATCTACTTAATTTGTGGTAGTACATAATTGATGCTGTGAATATTATTGATATAATTATGTTCAATTGATGTATAAATTATGGAGTCATGTTTGTCCTTCGAACTAATATATAGTTTCGGTTCATAGATTGGTTATTTTAGACAAAATACAAACAATATTAGGGACAAAAAAGTCAAGGAGTCTCTATAAAAATCAAACAATGACTACTCTACAGCGTCCTTGGTCGGCCAATCTGTTATCGTATCACAATATGATAACAAATATCAGGTCCGGTGTGATAACACTGTTTATAACCTTAGTTAAAAAGGTTATAAAAATTAAAAATGTATTCATTTAAAAAAAACTATTGAATAATTATATTTTAACTTGTATTTTTTGTAAAAAAACAACGTTAAAAATTTCTCCTTTTAGTGGTGGTCAAACGCACCGCGCTTAAAAACATTTAATATTAAACGTGAGCCCAACTTTTTCAGTTACCTATTCCTTTATATTGTATTATATTTGTATCGATTAGTAAATCAGTCAGCATTCGTCGAATAGTCTATTATTTATTAATTCAGTGATATAAAGTTATTATTAAAGTATGGGAATAGTAGGGTCGCATTTGACGCGAAACTTGAGGAGATTTAACGTAGTTGGTCGAACAGAACGCGTGATTGACAAGGAAAAACCAACACGGGCTCCACTACACAAAGCCGATGCCGAAAGGATCAAACAAATGATCAAAGGTATAATTTGTCGCATTGTAAACACAATATTGTAGTCTTTAAAGTGATTTGATAGGTTTGGAATTTTACAATTTTGTCATGTAGATAAAAAAAAAAATATGTACTAGGTAATCATACTCAGATATACCTGTTTGTTCTTTCAGACGATCCTAAAATGAAAGAAGAATTGCTCAATAAAAGTTCAGTACACGAGGGCAATTTAAAAGATGTTTACGTCACGTCCACCGGCGATGTAAGTAATAGTTTATGTTTTTTCCAATTGTATGCAAACCGTTAAACTTCGATACATATCATCATTGTTGTTTTTCCACAAAACAGCGAATTAAAAAGGAAATCGACTAGTGAATGTTTAAAGTTTTGACAATGTTCAATCATTTGTATAGTACACATAATTAAAACATAAATTATATTTTAGCATTTATCGTAGTTAAACCTATTTACGTAAATTGTATGTAATTATAAGTGTTTTTTGTATTATATATATAGCTTCCCGATGTTTACACCGGTTCGAAAGCCAAACTTCCGAAAAATCGAGAACAAGTGTTTGCGTCCGGTTTCCTAATGGAAGAGCCGACCGACGTGCCTAAAGGACGGTATACGTTAACGCAAATAGTCCAGTGTATATCCGACCATCACGGAGACAAAAACCAATTTACGGCCGAAATTTTAGCCAAAAAAATCAACATTGACGTAAAAACTATGGGTAAGTTAGGTTCAGCCGTAATAATTATCTTCCGTTTTCTTTTTCGTGACCATTTTTTTTTTTGGTAAAAATCATTGCGTGTCTCGTTCACAGAAAATATATTGAAATACTACCGAGTGTTCGATATCCACATACCCGACAAAAGCGTGATAGAAAAGCAAACGTCGTCGCCTAAACAAGCGCTGCTCAGTATTTTCAACTCGCTCAAAGACGATTTGATGTTGGAAAAACCCACAAAGAAACCAAAAGCTATAGAAAAAGATTAGAAAGTATAATAAGTACCATTGTTAATTGTTTATGAAAAGTCGAGTGTTTGAGTAATATAATTATTTTGATGTAAGTGTAGTTTCGAAATCGATAACTATTATTATACATTATAAATTGTTGTTTTTTATGGATTTTAGTTGTATTTGTCGTGTGTAAATTCGTCGTTGACCTTCGAGTTGATGATCACCAAAGACTGTTGACAATTGAGTAATGATCGGCAGACGGAAAATTTTCAGCGTTTAAAATTTACATTCTATTCTTAAACCGTGTTGGTTTTGTGTTAACAATCATTATAGTAACATGATTTATGTCAAATATAAAGAAAACCTATAAGAAATAATATTATTTGACTTACACTTAAATTTTATTAAGTTTAAGACCAAAATGTAACTGTTTTAAACGCTGAAAATGAGTAACGTCGTTGTTTGTAAATAGTAGTAAACTTGCAGAACTATTTGACATGTTATTTTTAAATATTACAAAGGAAATAATTTAATGTTTTACAAAATAGTTTTTGTGAAAATACTTTAAATTATGTACCTATTTCAGATTGAAACAAATATATATCTTACAAATTGAAAGATCAATCGTTAACCAACGAGATTTACAAATAAAATATTTGACAATAATTATAAACGATTGATTTTTAATAATACAAATAATTAACATGTTAACATATTATTTTAAAAAAGAAAAACTACAAAATTGTAATTATTTTTAAGAGAAAATCAGTGTCTCATATTTGATAAATCACCCTGTATACAACTTTTAATTACTCGATGAATCAATGTCAATCTCGAGTGTTAACCCAAAACTTAAATCGAACAAAACACAAATTATTAGCATTTAATTGACAACCCTCCCCCCTCCCTTATTGTAGCTAAAGACAAGTGTATATGTTTTTTATTTGCTTTTCGTGGCCTGCTGTATAAATTAACCTACTTGTGTAGTACTGTTTCGTCGGCATGTACTTAACCGAAAAAAATTCGGTTGACCTTAATATATATATATACCAAATCGTACCCGAAAAGCACTTTAATGGGCTGACAATTTAAGAAGTTGACCCTTTGAAAATTGAGTAAAAAACCCGACAAATGTACTACACTCTATTCTTTAGACATAAACGTCGACCGACTGAAAAAATATCTCCTAAGTCCTTTCATATGGAAGGAGTGGAAACTGGAAACCTTTTCTTTATTACGGTCTTTAGGTGAAGTTCAAGAAAGGCTCAAGGTAGATTTCAAAATGGGACTATAACATATTATACAATATTGTCCCATGAAATCATTTTATACTGTCATGCGTTGGTGCCAAATGTGTTGCCTATCGACGCCGTAGATTCACAATGGGTAAAATACAAATATAATATCAATAATTAAATTACAAAATATAATATTAATAGACATTTAAGCCAAGTAGTCGAGGTGAAAATCATTTGGTTTTTAAAGTGTTGCTGATTTTAAAAAAAAAAAAACATTTTTTGGTAAACGATTTTTGCTCAAAAATTAATTGTCACAAATAATATTATATTTATGAATTTTAGATATTAAATTAATGCATTTTGAAGAAACGGTTCGATACTTAATTCGCATTCAAATGGATTTATCTGCACTTCAATAGTCAATGTGCATTAACTGCTGCAAGTAACCACAATATCAGTATATACTACAATATTATTACTATTGTATTAATAACCTCTTGTTATAATATAAAATTCACTCTAAGATTGCCTGTCGGCACAGCCGTGTTTATTGTTTTTGTGTTAAAGTATTTCAAATGCATTTACAAAACGTTTCAAAAAAATGTTCAAGCAGTGTTGGTTATTTTTCGAATAAAATATTATCTATTTTATTTCAAATACAAATTTCTACGTTATTGGATTTTTTTTTAGCTGTTTTTTATCGTTATTCGAATGGATCTCTACTCAAATTTCATTCAAGTATGTAAATCTCCTAAAACACTGAACCCATTTTTTTCATATGGCAAGTCTATGCATGTGAATACACCCTAAAGGTACTTGAATAGGCTAAACAGTTAAAAAGTTCCTCCCCCTTTCAATTTAAAACCCCAAAAAATGTTCTAAAGATAGCGGAATTAATTTCAAATTTGTATTAAACATATTCATTAGATATACCCAACCAAAAAGATATCATAAGCCTTTTTTCCTGCAACTTTTTAGGACTTGAGATTTGAAAATTAGACCCAACATCTATAGATATATGTGATCCTAGTAATGGAATATCAGTTTAGGTAGGTACATATTATAAATATTTTTGCCAGTGTATAACTGTTACCGTGTATAATATACCTAATACTATGTTTCCGGTTCGAGCCAACTAACGGAATTGACTTAAGAGGTCGCCAAAATAATACAAGACACAACAGGATGGTCGTGCGGTCTGTGCCCAAAAAGTAAACTGCACTCCTTGTGAGGTCTCCGACGATGGTAATAATAATAATAATATAATTACCCTTTCAGGGATACTATTGTATTATTATGGCCGGTCCGGGGAAAAATTCAATTTTCCAAAAAACCGAAAAACCGCAACGCGAAATCATAAATGATATGTAAACAGCGTGTGTGTGTGTTATTAAGCTATTGAACGGTTCTTATATACTTACATTATGTCATTATTGTATAGACACACACGTGGTCGCGTGCGAGAAATAATGAAAAATTGCATTTCGGTATGGTATTTTTTTTTGTTGTTTTATTCCTCCAAAATCGCATACACGGACAAAGTAGAGACGATATTCCTTCTTAAATACCCGTTAGGTTAAAAAAAACCACCACCACCAGTTACAACAATAGTCTTCAAAGGCTTTTTATACTTTGTGTCAAATCAACGGGCAACCTCACCGTCTTGTTAGAGTACAATATATAGTGTGTACACATATAGGATAAAATAGGTATATTATCCTTTCCAAAGGGGTCGCTCGTCAAAAATCAAATGGCGATTATATTAATATTATCATTGCTCGTATATAACATGCACTATTATTCATGTGGGATAACACACACAAGGGACCCAAGTATGCCGCCTACCCTGGCCATTTCTCTCCTTAGACCAACACAATATTATGATAATATTGCCTGTGTCTTTCTACTGTGCCAGCTGATGTACAGTGATGATTGTAGTATTTAGTGTAAATATTGTAATATTATATTATTTTGTTATTCCAACGGATACCGCGCATACCAGGATTGACAATATAAGATATCAAAGATACTCTCTCTCTCTCTACACATATACAGAGAATATATCTAAATATTTTTTATTGGAATAACTGAAGAAATGTTCCTTTAACTAAGGGACACGTTAAGGCACATATTTTAGACGTTTTTTAATTATTCTTTTTCATACTTTCACAGCTGTTATTGGTTAGTCCGACTTTGATATATTTTCCCACTACACAACCCCATCCCTCGTGTGGTAAAAACCCTATGAACTTTGTCCAGTCGATAATCGGTTTTGGATCGGTTTTACAGTCAGCAAATTATTCATAATTTAAAAAGTCAATAAAATACATAAGTTATTGTTAAAGAAGTCCACAAGGTTTTAACACATAAGGGATGGCCGAACTATATTAACAGCTATATAAATGTATAAAACAAATATTGATTTAAAAAAAGTATAATATCTTCTGAGACTTTGATAAGTGGTCTAGGAAAAACGTGTACTGCGCATTATATGCAATAATATGTTTATGTTGAAACAATTAATATTGTTTTTTTTTTTTATTGAAAATGCTATACCTATTGTTTTAGGTACAATAAATTATACCTACTTTATAAGTGTTTGTCGAGTGAAAATTTACCCTTAAAACCGTATATCATATAGAATTACACGAATTACACGGCCGATTGATCGCCGTCGATCGTCCAGCCAGCCATATCCACCAAGGTCGACCTTGTGTACAATATTATAATACCCCGATGGGGTTAATCCAAAAACGGGGATTCGCCTCTTGTGTGTAACGCAACACTACAGTTATGTTTTTCCAAAAAATATATTTACATTACAACGTCGTCGGGTGGTTGTTTTCAAAACCCGCCGCCTTTGTAAGGCTATTGTTGTTGTTTACACATTGTACATAATATTTGAATGGCCGTCGTCGACTAAAACAAAAGGGATGATGATGTGTTTACACACGTCAATGGAAAAAAAAAAAAACATTGATCGAGCGAAACACAATCGGTCGCACACGATTAGTTGCAAGTCCACTAGAGATTTGTGGACAAAAAAATCAAACAACTCTCCCTATGTGTGTACTTAAACGGCGACCGAATAATAAGGGAGGGGGGGGTAGCCGTTAACGCTTGGGCTATTATTTTTAACGACCCTCTTAAATACATACACGGGGGCTATTATGTACCTATGCAAGCCACTCGAGTAGTGTATTATGATACCGTGGCGAAAATAATAAAGCGACGGTGGTGTTTACATATATTAATATCACAGTGAATACGGTCTGCTGATAATAATATAATAATATATATAAATTATAATAACGGTCATGTAAATATTTAAAAAAAAAAAATGTCTTCCCAACAAACACCCAACAAGACTACCAAAAACAACGAGAATCACCCAAGGGAAAATAAATATTATTATATATAGGTATTGAAAAATATAATATAATAACTTAATCGGAACCGTTTATCGACCCGCAGTGTTTACTCAACCCGCCCCTGTAGAGAGCTGTACAGGGGGATAAGGCACCTATAAAACCTATTTAAGTGCAATAATTCATCGGCGGTGCCTAAAACGACGTTATTATTATTACCTATAAAAATTGGGTTATATTGGTTTTTCGTCCTACCTATCTCTTGTAAAAAATAAAACAAACAGTGGTTATATTAGTGCCCAGGTACCTCGGAAAAAACCTACCTTATATTGTATTACTTCTTTTGGTCGGGCGACATTACGGGCCTAAGGGTCGAACGCAATAATAATAATGCTTGTACACGACCTAACCGAAATAATCCAATCAAATAAATAATAACACATAAACCGCGAATTTTTATTGCAAACACAACACCAGACACCAAGCTAGGTACACCGTCCTCGACGTAACAATATGTTTTATAATAATATATTATGTTTTTTTTTTTTGCTATAGTTTAGTTTGACCAAGGCGAATGCAGTTTGGAGTTCCCGAGAGGATTCTTGGTCTGTCCAGATGATGACCTCACTAACATTTACAAGTTGTATCCTGGGACAAGACGAGGAGCGCGTGAAAGAAAGGTTAGGTAAGTTTAACGTGGAAAAAAAAAATCAAACACCATAAAGTCTGCTGTCGAGTCGCGGCGATGAGATGAAGCAATTAAATCATTAAAAGTAACAAAAAACAGCGTACCTTATGGGGCGGGTTTAGTGTTGTGTCTAAATGAGGAGTTGGTGTACCTATG